GGATCTGTACTGGTCAAATTGGTCAAATAGAATATTTAAATATAATTTATTATATTGTATAATACAATATATATATTGTGCCTCAGATACATCTTTGCGTCAGATGCAATCTGACGCATATCAGATACTGATTTTCAGATAACATGTGTCATCTGTCAATCGGTCACCTAATGTGTGTCAGCTGTAATCTGATGCAAGATCTTGAAATTTAAAATCTTGTAAAAAAAAAATTTTCAAAAAATATAATAACGTTATTATGAAAGATGTAGTAATAACATCATTACGAATAAGAGCATAAAAAGCCTTTTTGCTATTATCTTGATTTTTTTTTTGTATAATACCTGGTTTGTTTTATCTTTAACGGCTGGCATACTTTTTTTTATTTCTTGTTGGTTCTTGGTTTCACGTTGCCTTAATTCTTGGTGTTCACTAATACATTAGACATTGGATTCATTCTTGGTGCCCACTAATATATTAGACGTTGCATTCATTCTTGGTATCTACTAATATATTGGACGTTGGATTCTTGTTGCCCACTAATATATTGGACATTGGATTTATTCTTGGTTTCCACTAATATATTGGACGTTGAGTTTGTTTTTGGTGCTAATAATACATTGAACATTGGATTCATTCTTGGTAATAATACATTGGACTTGGATTCATTCTTGGTGCCCACTAATATATTGGACATTGGATTCATTCTTGGTGCCCACTAATACATTGGATATTGGATTCTTGTTGCCCACTAATATATTGGACGTTGAATTCATTCTTGGTGCCCACTAATATATTGGATGTTGGGTTTGTTCTTGGTGCTAATAATACATTGAACGTTGGATTCATTTTTGGTGCCCACTAATATATTAGATATTGGGTTTGTTCTTGGTGCTCACTAATACATTGGACGTTGGATTTATTCTTGGTACTCACTAATATATTGGATGTTTGGTTTGTTCTTTGTGCCCACTAATAATATATTAGACGTTGGATTTATTCTTGGTGCCTACTAATATATTGGACATTGGATTCATTCTTGGTGCCTACTAATACATTGAACGTTGGATTCATTCTTGGTGCCCACTAATATATTGGATGTTGGATTCATTCTTGGTGCCCACTAATATATTGGACGTTAGGTTTGTTCTTGGTGCCCACTAATAAAACATTGGACGTTGGATTAATTCTTGGTGCCCATTAATATATTGGACGTTGGATTCATTCTTGGTGCCCACTAATATATTGGACATTAGATTCATTCTTGGTGCCCACTAATATATTGGATGTTAGGTTTGTTTTTTGTGCCTACTAATAATACATTGGACGTTGGATTAATTCTTGGTGCCCATTAATACATTGGATGTTGGATTAATTCTTGATGTCTATAAATATATTAGATGTTGGATTTATTCTTGATGCCCATTAATATATTGAATGTTGGATTCATTCTTGGTACCTACTAATATATTGGACGTTGAGTTTGTTCTTGGTGCCCACTAATACATTGGATGTTAGATTCATTCTTGGTACCCACTAATATATTGGATGTTAGGTTTGTTCTTTGTACCTACTAATAATACATTGGACGTTGGATTCATTCTTGATGCCCACTAATACATTAGACATTAGATTTATTCTTGGTGCCCATTAATATATTGGACATTGGATTTATTCTTGGTGCCTATTAATATATTAGATGTTGGACTCATTCTTGGTACCCACTAATACATTGGACGTTGGATTCTTGTTGCCTACTAATACATTAGACGTTGGATTTATTCTTGGTGCTCATTAATATATTGGACGTTGGATTCATTTTTAGTGCTCACTAATACATTGAACGTTGGATTCTTGTTGCCCACTAATATATTGGATGTTGGATTCATTCTTGGTGCTCACTAATATATTGGATGTTGGATTTATTCTTGATGCCTACTAATACATTGGATATTAGATTTGCTCTTGGTGCCTACTAATATATTGAATGTTGGCCTGCTTATCATTTATTTTTTCTTTGATCTTAACTGTTTTCATTGGCTGCTGCCTTTTTTTTTCCCATAATATCTACCAAATAGAGTATACATTTATTAGTAGAAGCACCCTGACCAAATC